GGCTTGAAAATGCTGCCCTCGGCCTGCGGCCTCTGGCAGCATTTTCAAGACCTCGGTCACAGTTTTTCACCATACGGACCTCCCAGCCGGCAAATAACATATATTTATCTTACTTAATTTATCTTATCTACCTTACTTATCTTATCTTATCTTATCTTATCTTATCTTATCTATCTTATCTCATCTACCTTATATTATCTTAGCTATCTTGTCTTATCTATCTTATTTTATCTATGTTATCTATGTTATCTTATCTTATCTTATATTGTCTTATCTATCTTATCTTATCTACCTTATCTTATCTTATTTTATCTTAGCTATCTTATCTTATCTATCGTATCTTATGTGATCTGATCTGATCTTATCTTATTCAATGTAGATATTACAGTATATGTAACTTGATTGTTGAATTGCTCTTGAAAACTAGTACATGTTAATGAGTACGTATACAAAATGGATAAAAGCGTGTGAAGTTGTTGATATTGGGAAGGGTTAAACCACAAGCTTGTTTATCTTGAGCTGAAATCTAATGCACGCTTGAACAGTTATATGAAAGCAATCGCTGGAACTTGAGTCGCGACAATGCTCAGAATTCTGCGGGTGTTTAGCGATGTGTGTCATATCTGTAGATAGGTGTTCACGGACACGCGTGGGAAAGTGTCGGGTAGTTTCACCGACATAGCAGGCATTACAGTCTGCACAAGAAAATTTATGCANCTTTCTATGAAATATCTGAAAGTCATTCAGACTTGACGTCCAATTAGATATTTTAGCTAAAATCGTGCCCCCAAAAAGGTCCCGAAACGTTTAAAGGTATTGCCTCTATATTTTTCAGCTTCAGTTGTTCCCTCTCGTACTCGTAATTCCAGCCAAATCTTTGAGGTGTGTGTTTCTTGAATTAGTCGCCGGTATGGCCTAAGTAGGTACATATCGGGGTTTACGTTTGTAGAACTCTCTGAAGAAGTGTACAATAGTGAGGTGAGACGCTTCAGAGAATAAACAAGTCTGACGACTTTAAATCGCCGAGTGGAGCTCACTAGTTAAGCATTTAAAAACTGTAAGAAAACAAAAACAAGCTACTTCTAAATTCTGAACATTTGGAGAAGCTCTGTGGGTTAGGCAGGCAGGCGTCTGTATCTAAAAGAGTTTTGCATGGGACTTCCCGCTTTAAGCAGTCTGTAATTTTGTCGCCTTTTCTGAGGCTCACTTGAAACAGAACTGAAACCTAAGCCACGCAGATAGGTGTAGACAATTTATTAGTTGGAGTGGTTACCCGCACTTATCTAATAGCTTGCAATAGAAACGCTCAGGCCCCCCAATACAGTTGTACAATGTAAAAACGTATTTCTTTGGCAGTTTTTTTTTTAGAGCTATTGATTATTTCTCGTCTTAACGATTAACGTACCTTTCCCAGAGGATCTGGCATACGAAACAACGCTGATACCAGAGATGACTTTCCAGCACCGGTGCGACCCACAATTCCCACCTTCTCTTTACTAGAAACATGAACGCTTATGTCCCTTAAGACACGAGGTCCTCCTTCAAAGTAAATGAAAGAGAGATCTTCTATGGTTAAGCTTCCTTCATTAGGCCAGGACTCTGGGGGTCGTTCCTCAGTGCTGTAACCGGGCTCAGAAGCGATATCAGTATACGTCATTACACGTTCGACGGACGTCATCAAGGTTTCCACCTCTGATGCTGATCGTACACCATATTGAGTGCCGTCTAATGTTTGCAGTGCGTATGTTAGGGCGAGTCCGGCCAAAGCTAAGGAAAGGAAAAGAAAAAAGAACTGTTGATTAAAAAGAAAAATAATCGAGAAGGGACAGCTGCCAGACTCCATTTGTGATCACAACGAGTGCATAAACTAGGAAACGAAATGTTAAGCTAGTTTCTATTGTTTCTAGCTCACTCCTTTCGATTCGATTTTTAGATGCTTTCCTTACTCGGACATTTTCCAGCACCTTCAAGTAATTAAAAATTACTTTAGACTGAAAGTTGTTTTTCTGATTTCCAGCCGAACTTGTACAGCATCACTAACGTCAACATGCGATACTCTTCCCTGTACGATTGGGTCAGCGTGAAAAGCATCTTAAAAAAACAAATAGAATTACACCTATGGAAAACAAACAATTTTTTTTTTCTTGAGAATTGTGCAATAGAAGAATGTGTTTCAGGTTGAGTACTGACCGGGACTCTCCGATACCAAGATGGCCGCCACTGCAACAATCGTGACAAACACAGTAGACAGCAAATCAAGGCGTATACTCAACCAACGATTAGAAGACATCACCATGAAAAACGCTTGTGTGTTCTTGTCCTGATACCTAGAAAAATAATCACACATTGCGAGAAGTTATAAACCCGAGTTATAAGAAATCAATAGAGCCGATGAGATACTCAGTGACAGGAAAGCCAGCCTTAAACAAATATAAGGCGCTATAATTTGGGGAAGAAGTTTTAAGTCCTCTTTTTACCTCTGGGTCAAGTGCGAAATATCGCCAATATAGTTAAAAACTTTTTTCTTCACAAAAAGTATTCGATTCATTTCTTGTATTAATTTACTGAGGTATAATCGCATCGTAGTACAGACTTGAATTCTATTTTATCGCGTTAACATTACGTGGTTCTCTGTTAGTACTACCGTAATCGCATCTATAACAAAATTCTCGGTCGTGATTGGTTCTCTGCAAGCCTATTTGTCACGTAATCGGCGCGCGATCACGTGGGTGCCCAATTACAGGTATCAATTTCGACTTCTTGTAACTGGATATACTTTTAACTGGATACTTTCGCAGTTCACACGTCAATTACGTTCACATTCACGCGTCAGTTTTCGTCAATTTGTTATAAATACGATTAAATAGTAGTTGGACCTCGTGTCGTTCAATAATAGAGAGAAATCGTGCTAGTAATTTGAAATTGGCCTCGGGCTGCAGGCTCGTCCGATTTTGAAATTACTTGGCCGATTACTCCCTGAATTAGGACAAATATCTTGCAAAGAAATTATCCGAAATCAGAACGTTTGACTTTTCATTTTCGTTGGTTGCATCTAAGGGCGAGCACATCACGAGAAAACATGACTAGCTGGAAGTTTGCAAGACCGCGAGGAGTCTCGCACCCAAGGTGTTACATAGTTGATATTTGCTTGTCAAGTTGTCTAAATGAGCCTTCAAACAAATTAAAGAGTTACTATGTCTGGGGAACTCCTCGTTTGCAGTATAGATCATGTTCTTCGTGACATGTCCGCGGTTAGATGCAACCAACGGGTAACTTGAGACTAACCATTTTAGTCTGTCCACAAACGTCTTGCTCATATTTGAAGTGTGCACTACTTCCAGTCCATCTACTGTCTCAGTGACGTGTGAGTACACAGGACTGCATGTGATGGCTTCAATTCTCTTCAGCTCTCTGGAGGACTTCAGATAGTAGCGGGCGAAGTAAACAAATATTCCAATTATTGGAAGAAGGGCCAGAAAGAGCCAGTAGTTTGTTGCAGCGGGAACCAAAATGGCGATCAGGGAGAACAGGCAGAATATAAGGGCTTGTAGAAACAGCGGTGGCAATACGTCGTCCATAGAGCCAATATCCTTGGAGAACCGATTCAGGATACGTCCAGCTGGGGTCGAATCAAAAAACTTTACAGGTGCCTTGATAATCGCCAGGGTCATTTTACTGTGAAGGTTTTCAGCCGCTTTTAGGAGGAGGTAGTAAAAGGAGAAGGACGACACTGTCATGACAACAAGGGACAACGCCACCAAACTACC